ATACCCAGAGACAATGTAGATTCAGAAAAATGCTGTTATTAACTTTAAAATCTTAAAAAGAAAAGTAGACAGTATTTTCTAGAAAATTCACTCAAAAAAATAGCTTTATTGAAGGAAAAAACATTGATGTTAAAGATGCATGTGAAGTTTGAATAATACGGTTTTTTGAAATAATAAAGGCAGAAAATACATTAACACTAAATGCATTAAATATACTGCTTAATTTTAAATATGTGTATATGTGTAAATAAATTTCTAAAAGTTTGCGTATTCAGGAGGACCACAGAGCTTCCCTTCCTGTATTCCTGTTTTAGTTTCACACACCTGTTGTTATCTGGGAAAATATTTGGGATAATCATATGTTAGTTATGGCATGTCTCAACTAAGTTCTTGCAGGGCAGACATGTCTTCTTTTTTTGTTTTCCACGTTTTTACCTGGCCAACTTCTACTTATTAAAACTCAGCACAGAGGTTGTTGCTGAGCAATCCTCTGGCATTGCTAGTTGGATTTACTTGCTTATCTCTGTCACAACATTGATCTCTTTGTATAGTAAATTGTCTCCCTGATTAAATTGCTTGAACTTGAGGCCTGAGGCTGTGTTTTTTTATTTTGAGATATTAAGAACTTAAGCACAGCTCCTAGAATATAATGGTTGCTCAAAAAATATTAACAGAATAAGTAAATGGTGTGTCTTTTTTTTGTTCTTCTCCGTGGTGCCTGTCATAGTGCTAAGATGTTGTTCAGTCAATACTTACTGAATTATTAGGAAAACATTCAGCTTCTGGGAATACTTCAGAAAAGCAATTAACCAAGCTTTGGGAAGTGTGAGTTGAAAGGAAATTCAGGTGGAATTTGCATATTCTGAGGCATAATGTTGAGGCTGTTCTTCCTCTCCAAATGGCTTCCTCCTTAAAAAATCGAGATGAGAGAGAAAGATCTCTGAAACTGAAGCTGGATTTCTGCATTTGGGAGATTAAGGTAAAACTTCTGCATAGCCCAGAGGACAGTACTGTGCACACATATCATGTGTGAGTATACAGAAAAAGATTGATGAAAACCAAATTTAATTACTGAGATGGTTGTGATGATAATCCCATTTTTCTCATCCAGTTTACAGTCTAGGAAGGGCCCTAATCCATACGGGGTTGTTTTTTTTTTTTTTTTTTTTTTTTTTTAAACTTAGGGATCCAAACATCTATCTCATTACAGCTATGTTTAAAATCTGAAGTAAAGCTGTTTGTTGAAGTAGTTTTAGTGCAATATACAGAAATACTAAGAGATGAGAGATGTTATCAGAAAGATTATGGCTGTAATGAACATACAATATCAGTTAACTAACTGGAATTTCATTTTTGGGTAAAGAACCCAAATACTCAGATTTTGTTTTGCTTATTCAAGTTCTGTCTTTTTTTACGTCAACAAATCTATTTCCTGTTCCCAATAATGTTTTACTTTAATATGTATGCGAAGCAGCTACAGTGAAGGCAGTGGGATATATCAATGTTGCATTTAGCCAGTGAAATAGGTAGCTAGAAATGTTAAGGGGAACTGAAATAGAATTGGTACTAGGAAGAAGCTGTTTATAGGAAGAGCCATGATCCATTATTGAGTCCTTGGCTCTGCAGCTCCATAGCTTCTCTCCCCACTACTGCCCCTCCCCTAGCCCCAAGTAGACCTGGAATTGATTAAGTTTTAGGAAATTGACTCACACTGATCACATTTGCATGAGATTGGTAGATGTGAATTTATTAATTTACAAAATAAATTTTGACTGCCAAGTCATTCAAGAATTCGAAGTGGCCAGTTAGTGCTTTTGTTGCTTTATAATATCTATATGGGAAGCAAATAATAATCTGAAGGTTGTCACCTCATGTCAGGTGAACATGGAGTCAGAGCAGAGAGGTGGTAAGTGGAGGAATGATTTGTAGGATGGTCTTATTAGTTGGCATCATCAAAGTAGAATAGTCTGATTTCTTCTGTAGAAATGTACCTGTCAAGGGCATAAGAACCCATGTCCCTTGAATCTGCTGGGTAGGGCACAATTTCACCTTCACAGGCATAGAGGCAGTACTTCCTGGCTTCCCTTTTCTATACTCAATGCAAGCTTCCTATACTCGTCTATTCTCACGGTCTTTCTTCAGACATCTTAGTAATATTTATTTGCCTACAGCTTTCTTTTATTCTAAATATAGTGTTAAAGTTCCTGGCCCCTTTTTTTTTCTTTCCAATTTTAAAATATCATCTGATATTTAATCTCATCTATTGTGAGTTTGTAAATTCAGACACTTGGAGATGCCTTATTATTGATTTCTCCCTTGTACTGGTCACAAGGGAAGCTACTACTTTCACAGTACTGCACCTGAGTGAGATGACTAAGAGACAGGATGTTCTATTGACATGCCTGTGTTTTCTCTGCCCCAAACACCCAGACCAAAAATTGTGCTGGGTATGCTGTCTTATTATTACGGGAAGGAAATATATGTACCCTCGACACTACCTACATCATCTTATTTAATCCTTATAATGATCCTTTGAGAAAATTATTATCCTATTTTAAATATGGGAAAAATTGGGCCAGGAGGCTTATGTGGTTTGCCTGAGGTCACATTTCTAGTAAATGCCTTCTTTCAAACACATATCTGTCTGAATCAAAGGCTTAATATTTTTCCTTAACAAGGATTATTTTTATAGTTTTTTATTATAAAAATAAAGTGTGGTCATTACTTAAAGTCTGAAAAAAAGAAGAGTAGGAAGAAAAAATAAAATCATTCATAGTCCCACTCCAGAGGAGATAAATAATGCTAGCCTAAACTTGTTTCACTTTACACACTGCTTTGAAATAGCTAAGTAACCTGTCTACAGATTCTAGATGGGCTTTATCCCAGAATACTTTTTTTTTTTTTTTTTTGAGACAGAGTCCCACTCTGTCGCCTAGGCTGGAGTGGTCTCAGACTCCTGACCTCAGGTGATCTGCTTGCCTTGGCCTCCCAAAGTGTTGGGCTTACAGGCGTGAGCCACCGTGCCTGGCCCCCAAAATAGTTTTGTTTGCTTATTTTTATTATTTAATTCTTAAACCAAGTTATTATTAATTAAAACATGTTAAGGTCCCACCATACAACCAGCACAACACTAAGTGCAATGGGCAGTGCACCAAAGGACTATGATCCATGGGTCTCAGATTTGGAAGTTATTTCATCCACAGCATCTTAGTTTCTGCTTGAACGCGTCCAGTGGTGAGGAGCTCTCCCATATAGGGGCTGCTGTTCAGTTTTGTATTGTTAAGATGTGGTGCCAGCCCCCCTCAGGAAACCTGCATGCAGTCTAGGGGAGATAAGATTAAATATATGAAATAATAGTCCATACTGCAAAATAAGATTTATTTATTTATTTTATGTTTTCGAGACAGAGTCTCACTCTGTCGCCCAGGCTAGAGTGCAGTGGTGCAATTTCAGCTCACCACGACGTCCGCCTCCCAGGTTCAAACGATTCTCGTGCCTCAGCCTCCCAAGTAGTTGGGACTACAGTTGCGCGCCACCACTGGTTAATTTTTATATTTTTAGTAGAGATGGGGTTTCACCATGTCGGCCAGCCTGGTCTCGAACTCCTGACCTCAGGTGATCTGCCTGCCTCAGTCTCCCAAAGAGCTAGGATTACTGCGCCTAGCCCAAAATAACATTTAGTTAGATGATGATACAGACTGTCAGTGCTGTGGGAGCTAGACAAGTAAGAATTGAAGGAAGACCAGCCTTCAAATAAAGAAGAGATAAGGGAACCGTTATTTGTTGAGCATAATCCTGAGTTTGGGCTAGCTGCTTTAATGTGTAATCTCACTGATTATCACAGCAACCCTGAAAAGGTGGTATTAGTCCCACTTTGCACGCACGAGACATGCACTTTTTCCTCACCTGCATTACGATCTCTCTAAAATAGGTCTTATTCTGTATTTTGGAGATTTCTTAAAATAACTCTTTTCTTATTATGAAAATGTACAGGATGTAGAAAATTTGGAAAATATGAAAATCACCTGTAATGTTACTCCGTAGAGGTAACTATGATTATTAGTTTGCTGTATTTCTCACATACATACAGTATTTGTGCCTGTATTGCATACATAGGTGTATGTGTATGCATTTGTACATATATATGACTGTGTACTTAAATGTATATTTTGTATGTCTTTTATACAAAATAAGATTACTATATATTATTTTGTTTATATTCTGTTTCTTAAATTCGGTAATCATTGTCCTATGTCATTAAAATTTTCTTTGTAAAACTTTTTTATTTATTTTTTTGAGATGGAGTCTCACTCTGTCACCCAGGCTGCAGTATTGTGGCATGATCATACTTCACTGCAGCCTTCATCTCTTGGCTTCAAGTGATCATCCCCCCTCAGCCTCCTGAGTAACTGGGACTACAGGCATGAGCCACTGCACCTGGCCTGAAACTTTCTAAAACATAACTTTTTACGTGCTACAAAGAATTCTATTCTGCTATAATTGTGCTATGATTTATAACCAGTCAACCCCAACCCCTCATTAGTATTTAAGCTTTTTATAACTTTTTGCTAAGTCACCTTTATTATGCTTTGATAAATATTCATGTATAAAATTATTTGTTTATATTTCTAATGACTTCCTATCAAGTTGTATGTATGTTTTGAGACTTGATTCAAAACTGACATCCAGAGAAGTTATGGCATTTATACTCTCACTAGTGGCAGTCTATGACGGTACCCAGTTTTAGATATTCTCTCCAATCGTGAATATTATCATTAAAAACAAACATTTCCTAATTTGACAGGTGAAAAATTACCTCTCATGGTATTAATTTGTGTTTCTTTGACTAGCAAGAGGGTAAATATATGATGGAATAGTCCTCTGAAGTGCTTCCAGCTTTGAATCTTCGTTTTACTAAGAGTCATAGTGTATGGAGAAGAGAAGGCTGAAAGACTGTGTCTTATTTATAATGAATTATTCTGTGTCCCATCTTTTGGCAGATCTCTGACATCTACATTAGTGGAGAATCAGGGGATATGTCAGCTAAGGAGAAACTACTCCTGTGGACCCAGAAGGTGACAGCTGGTTACACAGGAATCAAATGCACCAACTTTTCCTCCTGCTGGAGTGATGGGAAGATGTTCAATGCACTCATTCACCGATACCGGTAAGAACAGTGGAATTTCTGTGCTCCTGCGGGACTTCTTCTCATCTCTTGTTTGTAATTAGTTATAATGCTATTTCCACCTCCTCAAGCAAAAATCAAAGCTTTGATTCATTTGTTCATTTGAAAAAGGAATATTTATTTAACTAATTTCCTAGGAACTGGGCACAAGGAGCAGTGAAGAAAACAGCGAAAGTTTTTTCTCTCATGGAACTTTCCTTCCAGTAGGGAGAATAGGTAATAAATGTATGCCATCAAGCAGTGGTAAATACAATGGCAGGATTAGAAAGTGGCAGAGGTTTGTGATATTTTGGACAGGGTGGTCAGAGATGGCCTCTTTGGTGAGCATGTTAGAGCAGAGCCGTGAGGGAGTGAGTCATGCAGGCTTCTGGGGTCAGAGTGTTCCAGTTGGAAGAAATACAAGTGCAAAGGGCCTGGAGTGAGGGCTTGCTTGGAGTGGTTTTGGAGTGGTTTAGGAATAGCAGGTGGCTGAAGTGAGGTGAGGAAGATAGGAATTCTGAGTGACAAAATTAAAAATTGTTGAGTTCTTAGTGGTCATAAACATGCCCCAATTTTCAGTGCTAACTGATGATATTTTTCCCATGACATTCAACAAACCTAAACTGTGTGTTTAAGTTTAGCATTAGGGAGCACTGAGCCCCTGGTATATACTTAAAAATGGAATTTGTGCTCTTCTTAACCTCCTGCTTTTTCTCTAACTCAGTGTTTTTCAGCTCTGGGAACTTTTAGGAGGTTTTCTTTGTGTGAACTCATGTGTGATGTGTAGATGTTGACCTTTCATGTGCCTTGCTGGACTTTTACAGACCCGATCTGGTAGACATGGAGAGGGTACAAATCCAAAGTAACCGAGAGAATCTGGAACAGGCTTTTGAAGTGGCAGAAAGACTAGGGGTCACTCGTCTGCTGGATGCAGAAGGTGAGAGAGAGTTTACTGAACTTGAGTAAGGAATGCGTATTCAGTATTCCTTCTTTTGGCAAGTTCCTTTGTTCTGACTAAGAAATTTCTTGTCCATTCTCTCTCAGATGTGGATGTGCCATCTCCAGATGAAAAGTCTGTAATCACTTATGTGTCTTCAATTTATGATGCCTTCCCTAAAGTCCCCGAGGGTGGAGAAGGGATCAGTGCTACGGTAAAAGAACATTTTCCTAGAAGGCCTTCTGACTTTGATTCATTTGGGTGGAATGTATTGCTTAGACACTTTCTTAAGCACTGATGGTATACTCATGGAATCAAACTATATATCCAGTATCTTTATCATACATGGACATTATCCTTGGCCCTGGAAATGAGTCTAGATACTGCTAATTTTGTAACAATTAGCATAGACTATTTGGTGCTAAATGCCAGCAAGGAATGTCCCTTTCATCCCTAGCTGTAATTCAAGATGAGGAAGTATTTTATCAGTCATTCATATATCAGCTTGATTAGGTAGATCACAGCTCTTTTCAGAATATTTTTAGTAGCTTGGTTTGTAGCCTTTCTTAGTGTCAGGAAATTGAATCCCAGCCTGAGAGCCCTTGAGGAGCTTTGAAACTGGTACTGTGAGCATTAAACTGAGCAGCATCTAGGCAATTAAAGGAAAGGGATTTCATATAGTTTGGAGTGGCCAGAGCTACTTCCTCTTGTGGTTGTTTTGGATATTGCTAATCAGGTGTGTGATGTTTACCTTCTGGCAATAGGAAGTGGACTCCAGGTGGCAAGAATACCAAAGCCGAGTGGACTCCCTCATTCCCTGGATCAAACAGCATACAATACTGATGTCAGATAAAACTTTTCCCCAAAACCCTGTTGAACTAAAGGTAAAGTCAAGGACTTAAATTTTTTTGGTAAAATCTTTCTAGGGAGTAAGTCTCCAAGCTTATCACTGCTGGCTTCTGGGTGAGGTGGCATGAAAAATTGGGTCCTAAAGTTTGTGTCCATTCATTCACCAAATATTAATTTTATAGGCACTTTATAACCAATATATACACTTCAAAGAAACAGAAATTCTGGCGAAGGAGAGAGAAAAAGGAAGAATTGAGGAATTATATAAATTACTAGAGGTAAGAGAGCTTATCCTTTGCTGAGACTTGGGGTTTGCTGGTCTGTACTGTTGTTGCTTCTTGATTATAGATTCCTTGTGTTCTCTTCCCAAACTGCATTAATAGAAGTACTCTCCTGGTGACAAATAATAGCACCACTCTCAGGTTGGTCTTAAAATATTGTGGTAAAGGGGCAGTGTCAGCCATCTCTGTTTTTTAAAGGGCTTATTGAAAAATGGCATATATTTATTCAGAAATCTTGAGTTTTGTGGGTAAATTTTTCTGCTTCTCAGAGGGAAGCTGAATCTTTCCCTAGGGTGGAAAGAAGAGAGACTTCTGTTCAGAATTTGATTCCTAGAGAATTTGAAGTTGTAGAGATGAGACTGTCACCTTGCCAGAATAAAAGTTACTGAGGAGAAAGGAGGATTTATAGAAAGTGTAAAAGGAATGGAAGGACTTAGAGTAGGTAGTCCCTACATTCTAGAGGTGACTTTTCTGCTCTTTACCTCAAGGGTGAAGAACCTGATACATATTTGATTGTTTTTCCATGTTAGACAATAGGAAAAACTGCTGAATGGCTGGGTAAGGAAGCAAGAAGTGATGTGTAAATCAAAACTGGGACAAGAGGGCATGGCTGTGTTTTTGGACTGAAAGAGTGGCTCTTTCAGGTGTGGATTGAATTTGGCCGAATTAAACTGCCTCAAGGTTATCACCCTAATGATGTGGAAGAAGAGTGGGGAAAGCTCATCATAGAGATGCTGGAGCGAGAGAAATCACTTCGGCCGGCTGTGGAGAGGTGGGTCCAGATCCTGAGAGTGGTCTGACATTATTTATTGAGCTGCTGTGAACCTTTCACATGACTATGGTTTTATCTTATTTCAGGCTGGAATTGCTGCTACAGATTGCAAACAAAATTCAGAATGGTGCTTTGAACTGTGAAGAAAAACTGACACTAGCTAAGAATACCTTGCAGGCTGTAAGTCTCTGACTGTTTTTGTCCCACATCTATGTCACATGTTTTCTGCTTCTCACCCTCTGCTCTAATGGTTGAAGTTAGCAATCGAGGAATCCAGATGTATTACTTCCCTTTTCTTTGGAATTGCAGTAGACTCCTTGGCTCCCTCTGTCCTAGTGAGTGAGGCAATGGAAGTTTTCCCACTGTTATTCTCTCTTCCTGTCTCAGGATGCTGCTCATCTGGAATCAGGACAACCGGTACAATGTGAGTCAGATGTCATTATGTACATTCAGGAGTGTGAAGGTCTCATCAGGCAGCTGCAGGTGGATCTCCAGATCCTGCGGGATGAGAATTACTACCAGCTAGAAGAGCTGGCTTTTAGGTGAGGAACAAGGGACTCAAACGGAGGGCTTACTTGCTTACTGCTGAGACTCATGGATCAAGAGTAGAGCAAGAGTCAGGCACTTAATCTTTTAACTTGGACATTTGAGGTCAGTGTCTCAATGGAGATACTGCAGATGTCTTGGGCAGCAATGTTCTGTTAGTGGAGGACAGTTTCTCCTTATTGCACCCCTATCCCACTAAGTACCTATAGGATTACTTCAATCGTTGTGGCCTTTTATAACATCCCACATATTTTCTTTTAATTAATTAATTAGTTAAAGACAGGGTCTCACTTTTGTTGCCCAGGCTGGAGTGCAGTGGCACAATCATGGCTCACTGCAGCCTTGACTTCCTGGGCTCAAGCGATCCTTCCACCTCAGCCTCCCAGGTAGCTAGGCCTATAAGTGCAGGCTGCCATGCCCAGCTAATTTTTGTATTTTTAGTAGAGACGGGGTTTTGCCATCTTGCCCATGCTGATCTCAATCTCCTGGGCTCAAGCGATCATCCTGCCTCAGCCTCCCGAAGTGCTGGGATTACAGGCATGAACCACTATATCTGGCCCGTTCTCATATATTTTAGAACGACCTGCAGGGGTGGTACACAACACAACTTCTGATTTAGAAACATTGGTGATCCATCACATTCTTTTTATAGGGGAGAAAACTGAGACCCACAGAAGATGAAAATTGTGTAAAGTCATGTGGCTAGTTTTTTTTTTCTTTTTTTTTGAGACGGCACCTCACTCTGTAGCCCAGGATGGAGTGCAGCGGCACAATCTCAGCTCACTGCGACTTCTGTCTGCTGGGTCCAAGCAATTCTCCTGCTTCAGCCTCAGAGTAGCTGGGAGTACAGGCGTGTACCACCATGTCCAGCTAATTTTTGTATTTTTACTAGAGATGGGGTTTCACCATGTTGGCCAGGCTGGTCTTGAATTCCTGACCTTGTGATCCACCTGTCTCGGCCTCCCAAGGCTAGTTTTACAGAGCCGAGACTAAGACCCACATTTCTTGACCCCTAATCCATTGTTTGTTTTATTATACTATTTGAGAGTTCTGTAAATAGTATTGTTAGCTTCCCTCCAGTTAACACTGTAATTTGGCATTTGTCTTTAAAACAATTCTGAACTAGATGGAGATGTTAATAATATCACCTTGTATTCATATAGCACTTTTTCTAAACACTTTTCCTTATATGATCTCATTTTTATTTTTTGTTTTTTATTTTATTTTTTTTGAGACCGGGTCTTGCTCTGTCACCCAGGCTGGGATGCAGTGGTGTGATCTCAGCTCACTGCAACCTCCGCCTCCTGAGTTCAAGCAATTCTCCTACCTCAGCCTCCTGAGTAGCTGGGACTACAGGCATGTGCCACTACACCTGGCTAATTTTCGTATTTTTAGTACAGACAGGGTTTCACCATGTTGGCCAGGGTGGCTCATTTTTATTTTTATCATATCTTTGTCAAATGGATAAGGAAGATTTTATTTTTAAAAGTATACTATAGATTTAAATCCCTTCCTTTTTTCTTTTCTTCCATTTCAGGGTCATGCGTCTGCAGGATGAGCTGGTCACCTTGCGCCTAGAGTGTACAAACCTGTACCGGAAGGGCCATTTCACTTCACTTGAATTGGTTCCACCCTCTACTTTAACCACTACTCATCTGAAAGCAGAACCCTTAACCAAGGCACCCTATTCTTCTTCTACCTCCTGGTTCCGAAAGCCTATGACTCGGGCTGAACTTGTGGCTATCAGCTCCTCTGAAGATGAAGGCAATCTCCGATTTGTGTATGAACTACTGTCTTGGGTAGAAGAGATGCAGGTGGGTGTATATCCAAAAGCTTATGCAGTACACTAATGTTTACCGGATTTAGCAGCTTATCTAAGAGGACGAGATTGCTTTGTGTTCCCTGTGCAGATTCCCTTAATTATTATTCTTCTTTCATTTGAGTGATGGGGTCTTGCTATGTTGCCCAGGCTGGACTGGAGCTGAAGTGATCCTCCTGCCTCAGCCTCTTGAGTAGCTGGAACAATAGGTATATACCACCATACCTGGCTTGACTTTCTTAATTATTGATGCTGCCTGAGACCCAAGCCCCCTTCTCCTTAAATCTTGCATGGGTGAGGTTGGCCCAAATTCTCACAGTCCCATACTGAATAGCATACAGTTTTCCCTTTGAGAATCTTTTCCCTCAGCTAACTGTACTCTAAGTGAGAGCCTGGGGAAAATTGCCATGTCATACATCTGTTATCTTTTTTTAATTAAATTTTTTTTGTGTGGGCACATAGAAGGTATATATATTTATACGATACATGAGATATTTTGATACAGGCATGTAATGTATAATCACATCATGGAAAATGGGGTATCTGTCATCTCAAGAAATTTATCCTTTGTGTTACCAACAATCCAGTTATACTCTTTTAGTTATTTAAAAATGTATAGGCTGGGAGCCGGGCGCGGTGGCTTACACCTGTATTCCCAGCACTTTGGGAGGCCTGGGTGGGCGGATCACGAGGTCAGGAGATCAGGACCGTCCTGGCTACACGGTGAAACCCTATCTCTACTAAAAATATAAAAAATTAGCCAGAAGTGGTGGCAGGCGCCTGTAGTCCCAGCTTCTCAGGAGGCTGAGGCAGAAGAATGGCGTGAACCAGGGAGGTGGAGCTTGCAGTGAGCCGAGATGGCGCCACTGCACTCCAGCCTGGGTGACAGAGCGAGACTCCATCTCAAAAAAAAAAAAGTATAGACTGGATGCGGTGGCTCACACCTATAATCCTAGCACTTTGGGAGGCCGAGGTGGGCGGATTGTGTGAGTCCAGGAGTTCAAGACCAGTCTGGGTAACAGGCGAAACCCCATCTCTATGGAAAATTAACCAGGAATGATGGCGCACACCTGTGGTCCCAGCTACTTGGGAGGTTGAGGTGGGAGGATCACTTGAGCCTGGGAGGCAGAGGTTGCAGCGAGCCAAGATAGCACTGCTGCGCTCCAGCCTGGGCAACAGAGCAGTACCCCATATCAAAAATAAAAGTTGAAACAAAAAAATGTACAAGTAAATTATTTTGACTGTAGTCATCCTGTTGCTCTATCAGATGCTAGGTAGTATTCATTCTTTAACTATTTTTTTTTTGTACCCATTAATCATCCCCACCTCCCTCTGACCCCGTACTACTCTTCCCAGCCTGTTTTGATTTATACATCCCACAACTAAGTGACAACATGCGATGTTTGTCTTTCTGTGCCTAGCATATTTCACTTAACATAATAACCTCTAGTTCCATCCATATTGTTGCAAATGACAGGTTCTCATTCTTTTTTATGATTGAATAGTACTCCATTGTGTTTAAGTACCACATTTTCTTTCTCCATTCATCTGTGATGGACACTTAGGTTGCTTCCAAATTCTGGCTATTGTGAATAGTGGTGCAACAAACATGTGAAAATGCAGATCTCTTTGATACACTGATTTCCTTTCTTTTGAGTATACACCCAGTAGTGGGATTGCTAGATCATACGGTAGCTCTATTGTTAGTGATCTGAGGAATCTCCAAACTGTTCTCCATAGTGGTTGTAGTAATTTACATTCCCACCAACAGCATACAAGGCTTTCTCCATATCCTCACCAGCATTTGTATATTGCCTGTCTTTTGGATAAAACCCATTTTAAGTGGGGTGAGATGATATCACATTGTAGTTTTGATTTGCATTTCTCTGATAATCAGTGATGTTGAGCACCTTTTCATATGCCTGTTTGCCATTTGTGTGTCTTCTTTTGAGATATGTCAATTCAAATCTTTTGCTCATTTTTAATTGGATTATTAGATTTTTTTTTCCAGTAGAGTTGTTTGAGCTCCTTATATATTCCAGTTATTAATCCCTTGTCAGATGAGTAGTTTGCAAACATTTTATCCCGTTCTGTGGGTTGTCCCCCCACCTTTTTTTTTTGAGACAGAGTCTCATTCTGTCTCCCAGGCTGGAGTGCAATGGCGCAATCTTGACTCACTGCAATCTCTGGATTCTAAGCAATTCTTATGCCTCAGCCTCCCAAGTAGCTGGGATTACAGGCACGCGCCACTATACCCAGCTAATTTTGTATTTTTAGTAGAGATGGGATTTCACCATGTTGGCCAGGCTGGTCTCAAACTCCTGACCTCAGGTGATCCACCTGCCTTGGCCTCCCAAAGTGCTGGGATTGCAGGCGTGAACCACCATGCCCAGCCTGTCCCTTTCCTTTGTTGATTCACTGTGCAGTAGCTTTTTAACTTGATATAATCCTATTTGTTCATTTTAGCTTTGGTTGCCTGTGTTTGTGTGGTATTACTCAAGAAATTTTTTCCTAGACCAGTGTCTTGGAAAGTGTTTCCGGTATTTTCTTGTAGTAGTTTCATAGTTTAAGGTGTTAATCCATTTTGATTTGATTTTTGTATATGACAAGGGACGGGTCAAGTTTCATTCTTCTACGTACGGATATCCAGTTTTCCCAGCACAATTAATCAAAGAGACTGTCCTTACCCCAGTGTATGTTCTTGGCGCCTTTGTTGAAAATGAGTTCATTGTAGGTGTATGGATTTGTTTCTGGGTTCTGTATTCTGTTCCGTTGGTCTATGTGTCCATTTCTAGGCTAGTACTATGCTGTTTTGGTTACTATAGCTCTGTAGTATAATTTGAAGTCAAGTAATGTGATTCCTCTGGTTTTGTTCTTTTTGCTCAGGATAGCTTTGACTATTTTGGGTCTTTTGTGGTTCCATATAAATTTTAGAATTGTTTTTTCTATTTCTGTGAAGAATGTCTTGTATTTTTTATAGGGTAAATCTGTTTTTTTTTTTTTTTTAATTCTCTCATTAACAGAGGAGTTTATTCTTCATTTTTTGTTGTTGATCATAACTTTTTTTCTTTTTGAGATGGAATTTCACTCTTGTTGCCTAAGCTGGAGTGCAATAGTGCGATCTCAGCTCACTGCAACCTCTGCCTCCAGGGTTCAAGTGATTCTCCTGCCTCAGCCTCCCTAGTAGCTGGGATTACAGGCGTGTGCCACCATGCCCAGCTAATTTTTTTTTTTTTTTTTTAAGTAGAAACAGGGTTTCACTGTGTTAGCCAGGCTGGTCTTGAACTCCTGACCCTCAGGTGATCTGCCCACCTTGGCCTCCCAAAGTGCTGGGATCACAGGCGTGAGCCATCGCGCTGGCCTCAACTTTTTTTTTTTTTTTTTTGGAGACAGAGTCTCACTCTGTCACCCAGGCTGGAGTGCAGTGGCACGATCTCCACTCATTGCAATCTCTGCCTCCTGGGTTCAAGCTAAGCAATTCTCCTGCCTCAGCCTCCCGAGTAGCTGGGATTACAGGCGCCCAACACCACGCCTGGCTAATTTTTGTATTTTTAGTAGAGATGGGGTTTCACCATGTTGACCAGGCTGGTCTTGAACTCCTGACCTCAGGTGATCCACCCACCTCAGCCCCCCCAAAGTGCTGGGATCACAGGCATGAGCCACTGCGCCCGGCAATCATAACTCTTAAGTTTAAGCAAGACTACTGTATTCTGCAGTTCCAAGGGGCCCTATTTACATGTGTTCTATGATAGTGGTTCAAATTTGATATTGCCCTTATCTTTCTAACCCTTTTGTTTTATATTAAATTCTTCCTATGTCCACATAATATATTCCCTATGTAGCAATAAATAAAAATATCCCAAAATAAACTATTTTGAAATTATCTTCCATTGGCCAGTAGTTGACGTCATGAATGAAGCTAAATATTTTCAGATACTTCTTTGTTATATCAGTTATGATTGTGAAATGAAAAGACTCCATAAAGAGAAATGCCTAAAGTGTAAAGTTAAGCATTTTAAGCCTGTGAAGTTCCCTTTCCCTTCTGGTTGATTGCTCTAGGAATGTATACTAATAATGCAGCAGGAAAAGCTGCTCTATTGTATAATTGGTGAGCTCTGCTCTCCTGCTCCTTAGCGGTGATGATGGCGTAATTTTTTTGTAAGAGGCTGTAGATTGAAGGAGATGGCCTAGATGTCTTTTGCTCAGTCCTCTACCCCTTGCTTCCTTGTCCAAACGTTGATTCTGACCATTTTCCTACCAAGCCATTCAGTAAATTATGTGGTATATGTTTTTTCTTTTTCAGATGAAACTGGAACGAGCAGAGTGGGGCAATGACCTGCCTAGTGTGGAGTTGCAGTTAGAAACGCAGCAGCACATCCATACCAGTGTAGAAGAGCTGGGCTCAAGTGTCAAGGAGGCCAGGTTGTATGAGGTGCGTAGCCTTCAGAATCCACATTACGGGAGGTACGTGGATGGAATGGATGAAAGGACGGTGCACACAATAAAGCTGTATCGAAGTACGAGGGTGCTCTGGAAGAGAATAATGATGATGAAGAGTGGTTTATGACAAATTCCCTTTTCACATGAAGTGTTTCTGTTAATCTTTGAAATAAACTTGTGAGAAAAGTATTTTTATTAACCCCTTTTTACTAAAAAGAAAAGTGATACTAGAAGCTGAGAGGTCAGAATTAGTAAGTAGTGGATGCAGATCCAAACTCAAGCCCTCTGCCTCTATAAATTCAGGCACTTTTTGCTTCCCCATCTGCCTGCAGTTGAGAGCTGGTATAGAGAAACTATTGACACAGTTTTCTCTCTCCTTCAGTCTCTGTTCTATCTTCCCATTTTATATTTCAACTCTTCCCTTCAAAAAAACAATTGAGTGGGAATCATCAGGCATTGGTTTTGCTTAGAAGCTAGCTACCAGAATTGCTGGAAACACGGGATAGTGAGGTCTGTTGTTTGTAATTACCCTGCTCAACTGTTGCCCACTTAGTGCTGCTCCAAGCTATAAAATATGACTCAGAAATTTGTTGTCCAAGCTTCTGTTTTCTTAGAGCAACCAATCCATATCTCTATCTAGACATAATATTTGCATAGTTGCAACCATAACACATAGTTTACTTACTCTTTCTCTAATGTATTTTTATTTCGTTCTTTTGTAATCAGGGAAAGATGTCCCAGAATTTCCGTACCAGCTATGCTGAAACTCTTGGAAAGCTGGAGACACAGTATTGTAAATTGAAGGTAAGTTTCTGCCGATTCTCTTATGTTCTGCTCATACAGAGTCTGGTGTCTCCCAATCAATTCTCTTACCTAATTCAGAAATCTCCTGGTTTGGCCCTGTTTTGGTTTTCTGCTTATTAGGTTATGCCATTTACTATGCACTTATTCATATGTATTATAACAGTTTCTCAGTTTTCTTAACGGGTCAGAAGCTACTGTTCTTAAAAGTTTTAAATAAATATAACCTATCCTAGGTATTGTGCTTCAGCAAACCTGTGGCTATATGCACTTTGAGAGACCAAAACTAAAAGTTTGAGATTGTAGAGAGGGGACTTTCCCTCTGATCTGTTGTTTTTCATCCCTGTTTATCAAGAGTGTCCAGAGTAGGACAGCCCAGGACCATTCTTTATCCAGGGAGCACCACAAAGGCCTTATGAATTCTGTCTTCTACTTAGGATTGACAAGAGTTCTGGGAGTCTTATATCAAACTTGTACAAAACTTGAATCCATGGGGAAAAATCCAGAGATTAAAAGCAAATTCATTTCCTGAGTTATTCTCTACTTTGATGCAAATGTGCTATCTTCTACACAAAGGCTAGCAGTCTAACCTTATAATCCTTGCTTTGTCTAGGAAACTTCTAGCTTCCGGATGAGGCACCTTCAGAGCCTACATAAATTTGTTTCCAGAGCTACAGCTGAGTTGATCTGGTTGAATGAGAAGGAGGAGGAGGAACTAGCATATGACTGGAGTGACAACAATTCCAATATCTCAGCCAAGAGAAATTACTTCTCTGTGAGTCTAGCACAGCAGTAGGCCTGTAATATTTATTTAACAGCAGCAGAAGGAGACAGGGGCTAGTCTGCTGAAAGCTTGGGTGGCTGGAGTTGCATTCTGCTAGATAGAAATAGGGGCCCTACTCAGTGCATCCATGCATGTGAGAAGTGTAAATGGAGAGAGGGACAGTAGAACCTTAGAATTAATTTATCTAGAATGCATTTAGAATGGCAGTGTCTTGGGTGAATACAGCAGCAATCTGTAAATTGAGTCATTTCAGAAGCAATACAGCTTTGTGGTTAAGATTATAGGCTTTGGACTACCTAAGTTCAAATTCTTATTCTTCCACTAACTAGCTCTATAACCTTGGGAAGTCATTTGATCTCTCTGGACCTCCATAAAATGAGATAATAGCACCACTTCGAAGCTATCCCCTTCCCTAATAGCACGTATTCCCAAAGGGTTGTATAAAAGATTAAGATTTAATAAGCTAACCTAGACAAAGCATTTAGTATAGTATTATTTAACTGGGATATACTCTGGACTTTCCACAAATTTCTGAATTCTCCTTAATTCATTTATTAACTTTTTTGTTTCAATCTCTTTGTTTGTAAAATGGGAAGGGAAATTTAACATTGGACAATAGGACACTGCTTTTTATTCTTTTCACTGAAAGATGTAGACAAGTTAGGATTATTTTTTGCTACTTTTAGTATTTTTACACTCAGAAGATTTTTAAAGATTTTGTAAATTATGCAAATAGGGAGTTTCTTGTTTTTGTTTTTAACATGCACTTTAGATACTTTAGAAGAAGAATGCATACTATAATACAATAAACAGGCTATGTGAGAACTGAAATTAGGCTATAACAGAGATATAAAGAAAGTGCTGTGAAAGCATAGTAAGGATCAGTATCCAGCTTCACAGAAGAGCTGGCATTTAACTTGGGTCCTGCAGTTAATAGAATTTAGTCAGTGGAGAGCATTGTAGGCTGAATACTCTAAGCAAAGCCAGCCAGTCACTGATACCCATGTCCTGGTGTGTCATGTACTGGTGTGGGTGCTGATGTGCAGGAACTGTCCACTCCAGACAAGTTATCTCCTTTCTGTGGTCCAATGCTCATTCTGTGTTCCCGCATTTTACTCACATCTGGGTCAGGTCCCATGTCTTTTGTGAATATTTTCCAGTAATTCTAGTGTTTGTGCCCTTCTCTGCAATCCTCTGGCATGCACTGTTTATACATCTCATTTTGCCACCAATTCTATATTGTAGGTTCCTTTAAAATAGGGGAGGGAAGGCTGGGCGTGGTGGCTCACAACTGTAATCCAGCACTTTGGGAGGCCGAGTCGGGCAGATCACGAGGTCAGGAGATCGAAACCATCCTGGCTAACATGGTGAAACCCTGTCTCTACTAAAAATACAAAAAATCAGCCAGGCGTGGTGGTGGGCAACTGTAGTCCCAGCTACTTGGGAGGCTGAGGCAGGAGAATGGCGTGAACCCGGGAGGCGGAGCTTGCAGTGAGCCAAGATTGCGCCACTGCACTCCAGCCTGGGAGACAGAGCAAGACTCTGTCTCAAAAAAAAAAAAAAAAAAAAACACAGCTTTTATTTATGCTAGCCACTACCCACTGCCAAGAGCACTTATTCTGTAAAATTGAATTCAATTTTCAGGAGTTGACAATGGAACTGGAGGAGAAACAGGATGTGTTTCGTTCTCTACAAGATACAGCAGAACTACTTTCACTTGAGAACCACCCAGCCAAGCAGACAGTGGAGGTGTGTGACTCGAAAATATGTGGAGGTCAAATGCTGAGAGGTTGTTGTTATAAAAGTGTTCAAATTAGAGACTTTGTTCAACTGAAAGACTTGGAGGAAGTGTCAGGGATCATTTGTCTTGGGTCTTCTCTGTTTTCATTCCTGACTGTTCCTGTATGCCTCAAAAGCCTGCAAACATTTCTGTTAGTCTAAGGAGACTACTGAGAGAAACGATAGAAGGTACATTGGCTCCCAGCTTTCGGAGGAAAAGCGGACTTGGACCGTATTTCTTCAAGTAACTGTCCAGACAGATCCTGACTTGACTCTTGTTGATGTGGTGCCTTTGCCAAAAGAAGAGAAACAGTGGAAGAATTCTGGAGGAATTTATGCCTGGGTTTTGCTGCCTGGATCATTTACTTACAACTGAGTGTGGAAGAGGCCTTTTCTATGTAACCCCCTCTAACAAAACCATTTTGGATTAAAGGAACACTTCTTACACATGGGAAGCATTGAGCAGATGCCAGTCAAGTATCTCCACATCTTTTCTGTTGGCTTCTCTATCATTAGCAGAGTTGTACTTGGAAAATAGTATTGCACATATATATATTGAGTCTGTTAAACTCATGCCCTTCTGTCTGTGTGCTTGTTTATTGCAGGCTTATAGTGCTGCTGTCCAGTCCCAGTTGCAGTGGATGAAGCAGCTGTGCTTGTGTGTTGAGCAGCATGTGAAAGAGAATACTGCTTATTTTCAGGTATGATGGATTTCTGTGTTTGTGTGTGTGTGTACATATGTATGTTGAAGGTGAGGTTACAAACACATCTGCATTAGTGTGCGTTTGCTGTATAAACCACCACCTTAAAATTTAGTTGCTTAAAACAATAGTCATTTAGATAGCTCGTGATTCAGTAGCTGAGCACTTTGGGCAGGGCTTTGCGAAGTGGTTCATCTTATCTTGCCTGTCTTACTCATGGCTGCAGACAGGCTGGGGGCTGGTTGGTCCCAAATGGCATTGCTCATGTCTAAGAGTTGGCTAGGTGCTGGAGCACCAAGCCGTGTGTCTCTAGCATCCAGCAGCTTTCTTCACAACGTGGCTGTGTTTCACAAGCAGAAAGAGAGAGCAAGTCCTAGAGCACAAGCCCTTTTTTCCTGCTTCTGTCACATTTATTAATGTGCCTTTGGTTAAAGCCAGACGTGTGGCTATGCCTAACTTCAAGTTGAGGAGAAATAGACTCCACCTCTTGATGGGAGGAGCTGTAAAATATCATGATCTTTTTTTTCTTTTTTCCATCTGTCAGAACATGAAAGAATGTACTGCTGGCTGGGCGCAGTGACTCATGCCTGTAATCCTAGCACTTTGGGAGGCCAAGGCGGGCAGATCACTTAAGGTCAGGAGTTCAAGACCAGCCTGGCCAACATGGTGAAACCCCTTCTCTATTAAAAATACAAAAATTAGCTGGGTGTGGTAGCACACATCTGTAGTCCCAGCTACTTGGGAAGCTGAAGCAAGAGAAATACTTGAACCTGGGAGGCGGAGGTTGCCGTGAGCCAAGATCACACCACTGCACTCCAGCCTGGGTGACAGAGCAAGTGTCTTAAAAAAAAAAAAAGTACTGCTTATTTTCAGGTGAGGTGGGAGGAGGAAATAAGCCATTATCTCTGTTTTTGCCCTAATTTTTTTTTTTTTTTTGAGACGGAGCCTCACTCTGTCGCCCAGGCTGGAGTGCAGTGGCGCAATCTCGGCTCACTGCAAACTCTGCCTCCCGGGTTCACGCCATTCTCCTGCCTTAGCCTCCTGAGTAGCTGTGACTACAGGTGCCCGCCACCACGCCCAGCTAATTTTTTTATTTTTATTTTTTTAGTAGAGACGGGGTTTCACCATGTTAGCCAAGAAGACCTTGATCTCCTGACCTCATGATCCGCCCACCTCAGCCTCCCAAATAGCTGGGATTACAGGCATGAGCCACCATGCCCGGCCTTTTGCCCTAAATTAAATAGTCTCCCTGATTATTTCATAACATGAATTGAAACATTTGATCACTCAACCTTAGGTTTTTCATGAAATACACCCCACAGCCAAATGCTGTACCTAGCCAGAAGTCAAGAGGAAAGAGCAGTGATTTCTGAGGGAGTGAAACAACTAACTTTTCTGTAGGGTAGGGTTTGGGGTAGTCAACACTAATATTTTGCTGCATGGCTTTTTAAGCCCTTCAGTTTATGTGTCAGTGGTCCTTGTAATGAACTCTCACTAATCCAGTAGGGTGTAATCAGCTTTGCTAAGCTCTGCGTAGTAAAATTGTTCTTTCTCAGTTAACATTCCGGGTGTTCTGATGTTTTGAGCAGAAGGCATCCTTCCTTTGTATTCCCATAGTTCTTCAGTGATGCACGAGAGCTGGAGTCATTCTTGAGGAACCTCCAAGATTCCATTAAACGAAAATATTCCTGTGACCACAACACCAGCTTATCCCGCCTTGAAGACCTGCTCCAGGACTCCATGGTGGGTGTTGTCTCAGTGGGGATGATTACTTCTGGGAAAGAGCGTAAACCATATCAGCTGCTGCTGTTTATATCCTTGAAAGCTCCAGGGCAGTGGGCCGTTGTTGTAATAAAGTTTGGCTTACATTCAAATAGAGTTTAATCGATGTGGTTCTGTCTCTTTCCTTTTTTCCTTTTCTTTTAAAGAAGTTGCTAATAAGATTTCTTTGGGTATGTTATTGAAGTAAAGGCCTAGTCTTCTCCTCTGAGCCACTTTGAGCTCCTTATACTTTCCTTGCATTTTTCCTGTTTTAATGTAATAGTTGGAGCCAAGGATGAGGTGTTGAGCATGAAAAAAAGGTTGAAGGGGATTAGTTTATCAAATTCTTTGTTACTCTCTTGTGCAAAAAAAGAACTAAAAAAAAAAAAACAAAAACAAAAACAAAGAAATACACCTAAGTCAAAATTTTCCTCCTTGGTAGTTTTCTTTTGGATGATAATTAAAATTGATTTTAATTCAAAGAAACATGTAATGTAATATTTGTGCAGTTATTTATGAAGCAATATTAATTTTTAAGAAATAGTTTTATATTCAGTATTTAGTTCAAATCAATTTTATATTCATTTTCTCCAATGAATTATTTCTTCAGGAGTGCTGGTAATTAGCAGAAAGACTACTTGTGTTTAGTGAATGTATATTACACAGAGTTGGCAAGACAAGGCTCAAGCTACATCTCAAATTAAGATAGAAATGTATATGTAATAAGGAACTTACTTTTCCTTTGTGAGAAGCAAGGGGAACCTCGCATTTCAATAGAAAAGTCTAAATAAGAGAACTAGAATAACCCAAAACAGTTCATTTTTTTTTAGTGGGTAAGATTTGAGCATTTGTGAATATAAGGGTTTTTTATTTTTATTTTTTTACACTTTCAGGTATTGTAAACCTATGAGTGGTTTTACATTCACCTGGGCAAATAGTCTGTTAATTTAATTTGGAATGAAGGATGAAAACCTGACTTTTCAGATGTTGTCTCTAAAATATCTCTCTCGGAGGTACTACAAGTATGAAGGAGGAATATAATCCTTGGCTATTATCTCCTCCCTCCCACAGAGTACCTTCTGTCGTAGGGTAACTCCTCTGCAATGGTTGTCATATCTTCTCTTCTCGAGGGTCGCTGCTCTGTTCCCTCCTCTCCAGGTCAGGGTCATCGGGTTGGCGGCGTCATCGGGGCATGGAGTCACCTGGGTCTGCTCCTCAGCTTGTCCGTCAGGTTCGGGAGCATCTGTCCTGGCTTCTGGTTCTTTTCAGAACTTTTACCACGCTGAGCACTTGGTCTCTGGAGCTTGAGCTGTTTGGCTGTGGGTTAGACAGAAATTGACATCTTATTTCAAGGAAACTGAAATGGGTAGACCAGCTCTCAAGTATGGAAATGTGGCTGTCTCCCTGATACATTCCATTCCTCTTTCTTAACTAATAAGTTAAAGTTGTATTTCTTCCAATCATGCTCCCGGGGACAGGCACAGGTAGTTTATTTAAGCATTTCTTTTTCTTTACTTGCATATTCTTAGTTCTTTAATGGCATTTCCTAACATTATTAACTCTTTACTCTCATCGCATCTACATCCATCCTAAGAAAGCCATCTTCTGGGGAGACTTTTACACCTCAAAATGGGCTTGAAACATCTGGGTTAATGGATAAAGTTTATCTTTTACTCTTTAATGGAATTGGTAATGGTTTACTACCAATTTTGTTAACAAGAAGTTTATTCGTTTTTAAGATTATTGGATTTGCAGAGATTTGAGAGTTTCAATTTTGCATGATACTTCTTTCTAACCAATCAAATTTATGTGAATATAGCACAGCAAATACTGAGAGGTAAACCCTAAATCATTTGTCATGATACCTTCACCAACAGCATTGTTGGTTGAAGAGCTAAGATCTTTCTCAAGAAAGCTTGACTCAATTTAGGAAAATAAAATATTTAGAGTAGAGCTTGGGAGATAAAATTATTTTTTAAAATTTAAATAAGTATAACTAGCTTCTCCTAAGCAAAAAGGGAAGAACTGGTTTCTACCAGTGAGAAACTGACTAATAATAATATACCTATTACTGATTTTAACTTTCATGTTCTCTGAATCATGTTTAGATAAATTTTTTATTAGCTATATAGCTGTATTTGGAAGCTAGAAGTATTTGTTTTTATTTTGGTTTTTGCATGTGACTTTATGGTTCATAGAAAGTGGCACAGGGAGAAAGCTGCAAAGTTTGAGTGCAAAAGCACTTGGTAGAAGACAGAAACATTCTCTCCTTTTTTCTTTATCCTTGTATAAGTCTTTAAGATGGCTCCACCAACCATCCCTACTTAACTGAGAGATGACATTCTCTGAGGGAGTGGAGTATTCAGTTTTCTTTGTTAACTTAGTCACCCTGAGTAGCAACATTAATGTCATTTTGTTTTTCTTCTCATTTTGTAGGATGAAAAGGAGCAGCTTATACAGTCCAAGAGTTCCGTTGCCAGTCTTGTCGGGAGATCAAAAACCATTGTTCAGCTAAAACCACGCAGTCCAGACCATTTGTTAAAGAGCACCATTTCTGTTAAGGCCATCTGTGACTATCGGCAGATCGAGGTGAGGAGGTAGAAAGGGTACTTCTGGGACACAGAGGGAAGGAAGAAAGAAGGGAAGCCTTCAGTTAGGGTTATGATGATAAGGAAAGATCAAATTACAAAGTTTTTAAAATTTAAACATGCTGAAATCTCTCCTATCATTTAAAAAAAAAAAAAACTAAAAACTTCAATCCTATAATCTTGACCTGCTCCCTGCCTCAGTGATTGGCATCATTATCTACTCAGTTGCCTAAGTGTTGACAGAGATGGTACTTTGTAGCACCTGGGAGATATCCTTGACTCGCCCACCCCTCTTATCCTCCACAGCTAATAGGACCATCAAGTTTGTACTAATTTGTAAATATCCCTTAAACATACTTTTTCTGTCCCTGCTAATATTTCCCTAAAAGCATAAGCAGCTGGGTGCAGTGGCTCATGCCTGTAATTCCAGCGCTTTAGGAGGCCGAGGCGCGTGGATCACTTGAACTCAGGAGTTTGAGACCAGCTTGGGCAACATGGTGAAACTATGTCTCTATAAGAATCGCTTGAGCCCAGGAAGCGGAGGTTGCAGTGAGCCAGGATTGTGCCATTTGCACCCCAGCCTGGGTTACAGGAGTAAAACCCTGTCTCAGAAAAAATAAAAGGCATAAGTTTATTTCACTTGGATTATTGTATCAGCCTCCCCATTTAGTGCACAAAGGATCCTACCACCAGCATGTTCCTTTTTTTTTTTTTTTTTTTGAGATGGAATCTTGCTCTGTGGCCCAGGCTGGAATGCAGTGGCACCATCTCAGCTCACTGCAACCTCCGCTCCCTGGGTTCAAGCAATTCTCCTGCCTCAGCCTCCCAAATAGCTGGGACTACAGGCATATGCCATCACTCCCAGCTAATTTTTTGTATCTTTAGTAGAGACAGGGTTTCACCATGTTAGCCAGGATGTTCTTGATCTCCTGACCTCGTGATCTGCCCACCTCAGCCTCCCAAAGTGCTAGGATTACAGGCATGAGCCACCGCGCTTAGCCTTTTTTTTTTTCTTTAAATTACAATCCTATGCTTAAATCTTATAATAATTACTCATTGCTCTTGGGAAAAAGCCTAAACTCCTTAAGGTGGCTTTAAGTTCTTGAGTAATCTGTCTTTACCCCTCTAGCCAAGACTGGGTCATATCCTTTATTCCCTGGTAAATTGCATTTGTCACACAGTATTATAACTACATACACCACCAGAATATGTGGAAATACAGACTATGTTTGTCTGCTTACCACTGTACCTTTTTATTTATTTATTTATGTTTTGTGATAGTGTCCCACTCTGTGCCCAGGCTGGAGTGCAGTGGCACTATCATGGCTCACTGCAGCCTTGACCTCTTCGGGCTCAGGTGATCCTCCCACCTCAGCCTCCCGAGTAGCTGGGACTACAGGCATGCACTACTATACCCAGCTAATTTTTGTATTTTTTGTAGAGATGAGGTTTTACTATGTTGCCTAGGCTGGTCTTGAACTCCTGGGTTCAAGCGGCCTGCCTACCTTAGCCTTCAGAAGTGCTGGGATTATAGATGTGAGCTGCTGTGCCTGGCCAATTATACTGTCTTTATCTCCAGTGTCCTAGCACAGAGTAGACGCTCAAGAAATACATATTATACAAAAGAATGAATTAATTAAAAAATGGAAAAAAAATAAAAATTTAAAAATGGGACTGCACTTTTGTGTATCTCGATATTTCTGCCTATAAGTTAGGGATAATAATCTTGATCACTTGTCTCTCAAGAGAAAGACTTGATAATTCCAAAATGCTTAAACGTTTTCAGGGGTTTGGGTGGTATAGGAAGAGGGGAGAGGAAATATCATAAAAACAATGTTTTGATTATTCGCGCTCCATTAGTTTTTACTCTAGTAGATTTTTGTGCTGAGATCACTCTTGAGCCTTTATAGTCTTATTATAACTTTCATATTCTGGGTTACTTGACATGTAACATGTATTTAATACATATTTGTTTCCTTGATTTATTTGGTGTCACAGTTTTTCCTGTGTTGTAGATTTATACCCATTATCTTTTGGCAAAAATAAGAAGCCCTCACTAAGTGATAGCAGAAATTTTCTTAAGCAGATTTTTTTCTTAAGGATTTGATAGTTTTGGGATGAGGCACCAGGTAATAATGGGTTGTTGCTTTATCCATTAGCAATAACTGGTAAATTTATCTCTTCAGATTACTATTTGCAAAAATGATGAATGTGTGCTAGAAGATAATTCTCAGCGGACCAAATGGAAAGTGATCAGCCCCACAGGGAATGAGGCAATGGTGCCATCAGTCTGCTTCCTCATTCCCCCACCCAATAAGGATGCCATTGAGATGGCCAGCAGGTAACTTGGCTCAGCTGCCACTGGTACACCCACCTCTGCTGTTGGCCTCGGTGAACCAATGGAGGGATGGGTGTGCATTTGTGATCTTCTTGCACACAGTTGTAAAGTTCCTCCTGGGAGAGGCTTCTCATTGGAGATATCAAGTCTCCTACTGCCAGCCACATAGTAGATCTTCAATAAATATTTCTGTTCAACTAGAGTATATTCAGTGATATTTCTTTTTTAAAGAACTCTTGCTTATAAATAGCTTACTCTCAAAAGATTGATTTTTTTTTACCAGCCTGGCCAACATGGTAAAACCCGTCTCTACTAAAAATACAAAAATTAGCTGGACGTGGTGGCGCATGCTTGTAGTCCCAGCTACTCGGGAGACTTAGGCATGAGAATCACTTGAACCCAGGTCGCGGAGTTTGCAGTCAGCTGAGATCACACCACTGCACTCCAGCCGCCTGGGCGACAGAGCGAGACTCTGTCTCCAAAAAAAAAAAAAAAGATTGGGCTGGGCAGAGTGGCGCATGCCTGTAATCCCAGCACTTTGGGAGGCCGAGGCAGGCAGATCACTTGAGGTCAGGAGTTCAAGACCAGCCTGGCCAACATGGTGAAACC